AATATCACACTGAAAAGGCAAAAGCTAGAATCATTCCCTTTGAAAATCGGCCCAAGACAAGGATGCCCTCTCTCACCATTCCTATTCAACATAGTATTGAAAGTTCTGGCAAGGGCAATCAGGAAACAGAAAGAAATAAAGGATATTCAAATAGGAAGACAGGAAGTCAAATTGTCTCTGTTTGAAGATGACATAATTGTATATTTAGAAAACCCCATCATCTCCACTCAAAAAATTCTTAAGCTGATAAGCAACCTCAGCAAAGTCTCAGGATACAAAATCAATGTGCAAAAATCACAAGCATTTCTACACACCAATAATAGACAAGCAGACAGCCGAATCATAAGTGAACTCCCATTCACAGTTGCTACAAAGAAAATGAAATACATGGACTACAACTTGCAAGGGACGTGAAGGAACTCTTCAAGGAGAACTACAAACCACTGCTCAAGGAAATAAGAGAGGACACAAACAAATGGGAGGAAAAAAAAATCCATTCTCATGGATAGGAAGAGTCAATATTGTGACACTGGCCATATTGCCCACAGTAATTTATAGATTCAATGCTATTCTCAACAAGCTACGGTTGACTTTCTTCGGATAATTATAAAAACATAGTTTAAATTTCATATGGAACCAAAAAAGAGCCCACTTAGCCAAGACAATCCTAGGCAAAAAGAACAAGACTGGAGGCATCATGCTACCTGACTTCAAACTGTACTACAAGCATACAGTAACCAAAACAGCATGGTACAGATACAAAAACAGATGTAATGTAACAGAACAGAGGCCTCAGAAATAACATGATACATCTGCAACCATCTGATCTTTGATAAACCTGACAAAAACAAGCAATGGGGAAAGGATTTCCTATTTAATAAATGGTGCTGTGAAAACTGGGTAGCCATATGCAGAAAACAGAAACTCGACCCCTTCCTTATACCTTACACAAAAATTAACTCCAGATAAATTAAAGACTTAAACATAAAACCTAAAACCATAAAAACCCTAGAAGAAAACCTAGGCAATACCATTCAGGACACAGGCATGGGCAAAGACTTCATGACTAAAACACCAAAAGCAATGGCAACAAAAGCCGAAATTGAAAAATGTGATCTAATTAAACTACAGAGTTTCTGCAAAGCAATAGAAACTATCATCATAGTGAACAGGCAACCTATGGAATGGAAGAATATTTTTGCAATCTATCCTTCTGATGAAGGTCTAATATCTACAATTTATGATGAACTTAAACAAATTTGCAAGAAAAAAACGAACAACTCCAACAAAATGTGGGTGAAAGATATGAACAGACACTTCTCAAGAGTAGACATTTATGTGGCCAACAAGCATATGAAAAAAAAAAAGCTCATCATCACTAGTCATTAAAGAAATGCAATTCAAAACCACAATGAGATACTATCTCACATCAATTAGAAAGGCAATCATTAAAAAGTCAAGAAACAACAGATGCTGGTGAGGTTGTGGAGAAATAGGAACACTTTTACACTGTTGGTGGAAGTGTAAATTAGTTCAACCATTGTGGAAGACAGTGTGGCAATTCCTCAAGGATCTAGAATTAGAAATACCATTTGACCCAGCAAACCCATCGTTGGGTATGCACCCAAAGGATTATATATTATTCTACTATAAAGACACATGCACACGTATCTTTACTGCAGCACTATTTACAATAGCAAGGACTTGGAACAAACCCAAATGCCCAAAAATGATAGACTGGATAAAGAAAATGTGGCAAATATACACCACGGAATAGTATGCTACCATAAAAAAGAATTAGTTCATGTTCTTTGCAGAGACAAGGAAGAAGTTGGAAACCTTCATTTTCAGCAAACTAACAAAGGAACAGGGAAAAAAATCACCAAATGTCCTCACTTATAAGTGGGAGATGAACAATGAGAACACATGGACACAGGGAGTGGAATATCAAACACTAGGGCCTGTCAGGATTGGGCAGCAAGGGGAGGGAGAACATTAGGACAAATGCTTAACATATGTGGGGCTTAAAACCTAGATGATAGATTAATAGGGCAGGAAACCACCATGGCACACATATACCTATGTAACAAACCTGCACGTTCTGCATATATATTTCAAAACTTAAAGTAAAATTTAAAAACAAAAAAGAATTTTGTTTACTTTTTTGCATTGCCGTTGTTGAGTTGGTGCAGTTACTTATATACTTTGGATATTTATCCCATATCAGACACATGATTTTCTAATATTTTCCAAATCCAAGGGTTGTTTTTTCACTCTATTAAAAGTGTTCTTTGATGCACAAAATCTTTTAATTTTGATGAAGCACAACTTACCTATTTTTTCTGTTGTTACCTATAATTTTGGTGTCATATCCAATAAATCATTGCTAAAGCCAGTGCAATAAAGATTTTCCCCTATATTTCTGCAAGTAATTTTATAGTTTCAGCTGTTATATTTAGGTCTTTGATTCAGGTTCAGTTAATTGTTATTAATGACGTAGGCAATGGTTCAACCGAATTATTTTCATGCAGCTATGAAGTTCTCCCAGTATGCTTTGTTGAAAATACTGTCGTTTCCCCATGGAATGGTGATGGCTCTTTTTGGAAAATTATATGGTCAATCAGGAGAAGATTTTGTTTTTCTTTTTTTTTTCTGGGCTCTATATTCTACTCATTTGGTCTTCCTGTCATTTTGTCAGTACTACACTCTTGATTACTGTTGCTTTACAGTTCACTTTGAAATCAGGAAGGATGAGTCCTCCCACTTCTGTTTCAAGGAAGGCTATTTTAATGCTTCAAGTTTAATGAGATTTAATATTAATTTGGGAAGTGTTTTTCAATTTTTGCAAAAAAAAAAAAAAAACCATTGGAATTGTAATACGAATTACATTGAATCTGAAGATGACTTCAATTAGTATGGTCATCTTAATACTATGAAGTCTTCCAATCCATGAATCCTGTTTGTGTTTCTATTAGTTTGTGTCCTCTTTATTTCAACAATGTTTTGTAGATCTCATTATACAAAACATTCACCTCTTTGCTTTCCTACTCTGAAAAAGAAATTCCATTCTGTTACCCCAAATCAAAAGATGAGGTGGTAAGCATTTCCATACTAAAATATTTTTGTAAAAGATCCAAAAATGTTTTAAAAAGATTCTGGAGGCATCAAGTTACCTGACTTCAAACTATAATGCTACAGTAAACAATACAGCATGGTATTGGTAGAAAGAGACACATATACCAATGGAACAGAACGGAGAGCCCAGAAATAAAGTCTCACAACTACAACAATCTGATCTTCAACAAAGTCAACAAAAACAAAAAATGGAAAAAGGACTCTCTATTCAATAAACAGTGCTGGGAAAACTGACTAGCCATATGTAGAAGATTAAAGCTGGACCTTTTCCTCACACAATATACAAAAACCAATTGAAGATGGATTAAACATTTAAATGTAAAACCTAAAACTATAAAAACCCTGGGAAAATATTTTTCCAAAATATTTGGACATAGGACTATTCTGGACATTGGCATGGGCAAAGATTTCATGATGAAGATGTCAGAAGCAATTGCAACAGAAACAAAAATTGACAAATGAGACCTGAATAAACTAAAGAGTTGCACAGCAAAGAAACTAATAGAATAAACAGACAACCTACATAATTGGAGGAAATATTTGCAAACTATTCATCCAACAAATATCTAATATCTTGAATCTATAAGAAACTTAAACAAATTAACAGACAAAAAATAAAGAACCCCATTCAAAAGTAGGCAAATAACATGAATAGATGCTTTTCAAAAGAAGACATATATGTGGCCAACAAGCACATTAAAAAATGCTCAATATCACTAACCATTAGATAAACTCAAATAAAAACCTCAGTGAGATACCAACTCACCCCAGTCAGAATGCCTACTATTAAAAAATCTAAATATAACAGATGCTGGCAACGTTCCAGAGGAAAGGGATTGCTTATACACTGCTAGTGGGGATGTGAATTAGTCCAGACATTGTGTAAAGCTGTGTGGTAATTTATCAAAAAACTTAAAACAGAAGTAGCATTCAACCCAGCAATCCCATTATTGGCTATGTACCCAAAGAAACATAAATTTTTCTACCATAAGGACACATTACACATTTGTTCACTGCAGCATTATTCACAATAGCAAAGACATGGAATCAACCTAAATGCCCATCAATGGTAGACTGGATAAAGGAAATGCGGTATATATACACCATGTAATACTACGCAGCCATAAAAAAAGAAGACAACGTTCTTTGCAGTAACATGGATAGACCTGGAGGCCACTATCCTGACTGAATTAATACAGGAACAGAAAGCCAAATACCACATGCTCTCACTTATAAGTGGTAGCTAATCATTTAGTACACAAGAACACAAGGAAGGGAACAGACACCAGGGCCTACTTGAGGGTGAAGGCTAGGAGAAGGGAGAGGATCAAAAGACTACCTATCAGGTGCTATGCTTATTACCTGAGTGATGATGTGGTCTGCACACCAAACCCCCATGACATACCCGTATAACAAACCTGCACATGTACCCATGAACCTGTATAACAAATCTGCAGATGTATTCATGAACCTAAAAGTTGAAAAAAATTAAAATTTGAAAAAAATGAACAAAAGAATATATCCACACATATTTGAATGAATAGTGATGACTGCCTGCCCTTCATAATTCATGTCTCAATAATATTTAAAAATGTATTTGCCCTGCCCCAGTCATTTTGAATGGGGGCTCTGTGTTCCAAGAGATCACTCCCCAATGGGGCTGGGGATTCAATATTATTTTGTCCATGTTCCTCCTTCAGTAAATGTCCCTGCATCCCTCCCTGACTGCAGAGCCAGCTCTCCTAGTGGGGGGCAAGGGGGTGAGATGAAGAAGTGTCACAGCAAAGGAGGAAAGGGGCGTGTGGGACAGGGTGGTCTAGGGGTCCCGTCCTGCGGAGCCTTCCTGCCCTATCTGACCTGACCCCTTAGCCTGAGTCTGAATCACTGGTGTCTGAAGAAGGGGACGATGAGGAGAAGGAGCTGGAATCTGAGCTGGAGGTAAGGCATGACACTGCTACTTGCTGTGCAGAGGATGACTCTGTTTTCTCACTCACTTTCTTTGGGGGACTTTTTAGGGGAATTGAGTTGTCCGCTGACATCTTGTAACCACTTTTCTAATTCCTGCTTTTTCTCCAAAGCGAGTTCCTCCTTTGTCCGTCCCACAGACTTCTTAATGGTATAGGGCCTCTGGGGTTTCTTATGTATGCAGGAAAGGATATAGAGCTCAAGCTTTCTAAGTGTGGATGGCTTGAGTGTTTCAGAACCAATCTCAATCTCTTCTGAATTTCAACCACGTAAAGAGGGCTCCCTGGCTTGGATTATATGCACAACTCAGCCCAGCTTCTCCCCAGGTAATTCGTTGATGTCCAGGCTCAGCTGCCGCTTCTCATTGTAAGTCATGGGACTGCTCTCTTCCTCCTCCTCTGAATCATAACCCTTAGGCAGGGCAGGTGGGGTTGACTTTGTGGCCTTTTTGGGGAGCTTGGTGCCACTTCCTCCAGAAGGTCCAAAGCCAGGAGAGCCTAAAGCAGCACTGCCACCCCCACTACCACTTGCTTTCTTGGACTTCTTGGGCTAAGGTGGGCGGGATGCCCAAGGCCCCTTGTCATCTTCATCAGCCCCAGCTCTGTCTCAATGCTTCCCTGCCTTTTGTTTCTTATTTTTCTCTTTTTTCTCTCTTTTGCTCTTGGGCTTGGATATTGGATCCTGACACAGACCAACCAGTTGTTCATGTACTGCCCAAAGCTGTTCCTGTAGTTCTGCTAAGCCATGAGCCCTTTCTTCCTTTAAGTCTGAGCTTTAGCTCTCTTCTTCTTCCTCCTCCTCTTCCTCAGAGGAGCTCTCACTGCTACTTTCCTCACTGGAGGACTCTGAAGATGATTTGGCCAAGCCAAGGGGCATGGCAGTAGAGACTGGTAAAGGCCCTGGTTCCAGTGGTTCATCTGGCATCTTGGCATAATGGAAACAAATACATCCTGTAGCTTTCGTGCCACTGCCACGAAATCTGGGGGTGATCTGGGGGACTGTACTTATAGCAGTTGGAAAACATAAGCAGTACATCAGCAGCAAACTCCTGTGCATCTGGGTAATCAGGGTTCTCCATTTTCTGCCACAGAAGGAGGCAGCATCAGAAGCTGCACAGGCAGGAAGACTCACCTTTCTCTGCTAACCTCAGACACCACAAAGAGGAGCCCTCTCTTGAGAGCACAGTGGGGATGACCTTAAGGATCTGTGCCCTGGGGTTCAAGTTTGAGGTCAAAGGAATTTGGGTGGGTTAAAGAAATATTTATGTCTAGAAAACGAAGTAATTTCTAAGCAACAAGGGAGGAGGGGAGGTCTATGACTGTTTTTCCACCCCATAACTTCCTTAACCCAACACTGCCACATCATTAGTACTTAATTGTAGATAGATAGTATTGTTCTCAAGACAAAGAAACCCCACCCTATTGTTTCAAACTCCAGGAAATATGAATTCTCAAATACCAGACCTTCTGTCCCACTACTATTTTATAAAAGTAAAATACCAAGAACCAAAGACTGCTGTGTGCCTACATGAGACTTACTGTTTTGCACCTAGGTTCCCATCACTGCCTGAGCATCCCATCTGCCCCATGCAGCGGGTACCTTGACATTGCTGAGATCCATGGGGTGCCTCATGATGTCGTGGTAGTTACGCAGGCCAAGTGCAGAAGCATCCACTGGTTTATACAAAGGCCAAGCATAGGCTGCATGCTTCTTAGAGAGTAACTCCTTCAATATGCCATTGCAATGTTTTAATTGTTCTGAAAGCTTTCCTTTCTTACAGCTCTGGTCTTGTTGCTGATATGTCAGGCAAGTCTTTGCGTGCGGGCTTGATGGGGGCATGCGGGAAGCCATGCTACCTTATGCTCAAGACTCCCAGGATGGCTAGCTGGGGAACCAGGAGCCAGGATGGCTGTAGGTGTAGGGGTGGTAGTAACTGCTTTCCGCTTTATACCTTTTTTCTTGGCAAGGGGTTGAGCTGGAGGAGCTGCAGTAACAGCAAGGAGAGGGGTTTCAGCAGAGTGCAGGGACTTGAAAAGTGAAGAGGAAATGACTGATGAGTGGGGAATGTTGAGGACCATGGTAGGTATCTCAGGTGGGGGAGTATACAGGGCTGTGTGTGACACAGAAGAGATGGCAGGCACCTGATGAGCACGAGTAACACTGTCCTGGAGTGCTGCCAACTTGGCCCCCTTCTTGTGGCTGTTATTAGGGATGGTCACCACCAGTTCTTGTTCTTCTTGTGGCATTGATGCAACTTTCTGTAGGAAGATCTTTTCCAGCGTTTGTGCCATTAGCACAATATTATCAGTGGGCTTGTTGTAAATGTAACAGTTGGTGAACATGGTATTTAAATCTTCCATACACTCTGAGGTAGCCCAATAATAACTGTTTTCAAGTCTCCTCTTAATAGTACCCACGTCCATAGGCTGTTTTATAATTTTGTGATAATCCTCTGGGGCTGGCTATCCATGGGCTGCATGAGGGAAAGGAAAAAGCTAAGAATTTTGGCCAGGTGGTCCTCTCCCAGTCCAAGGTGGGAATTGGTAGACCCAGTTTGACAGCATCCACAGGCTGCCGGAACTGTGTGAACTGATGTTTCCACAGAGCCTCCATCACTACCTTGTGCAGGTATTGCAGCTGGTTGGTAACTCCTTCTGGCTTTTTGGGATTGGGCAAATCCTGGGGTAGCGGGTTGGCAGGGGTCAGTTGCAAAGCAGGTACCAAAGCTATTGTGTGGCTCTCAAATCATTCACACAAGAGGGAGAGTTTTCGAATCCTTTTCCCTGGTGCTACTGCTTCTGGGCCCAGCCCCAGCAACCCTCTTCCCCAGGGAGTTTGTTGTGGGGAGCCGTGTTTTGCAGCATCTTGACCGCACGGAACCGGCGCTGCTCTCAGCAGTGGAACGTCTGGGTGGCCTCGACTTCCCTCACCGCAGCTCCAGCATAACCCGGTAAGCAGGGGGCGGCCGTTGCTCTTGGGCCTCCAAGCCACAAACCCCCTGCCCTGCCGGAACGAAAGCAGTCTCTTCCGGGACCTCCTGGAGAGCTCCGGGAAGGTTGGCTCTGCAGATGGCGGACAGCCAGAAAATGGCGGCGGCCTCAGCTGAGGAGGGCGACTGAGGAGGGACTGATTCTGCAAACCGAAAGACGGTCCCTGATCTCAGACACCGTCATCAATATAGCCTGCTGTTGGTCTGCAGGGATCCCCTCTTCTTGTTGGGGACCCTACAGAGTGGAGGAGGTTCCCTTTAGATCTCGGACGGAGGCGGATGCACACGAAAACTGGTTTCAGAAGCCCCGGCTTCCATTTCTGAAATCCTCTTGTGGGCAGAGGAGACAGGGTGGACAGACTCCGAGGACTGGGTGGGCCCAAAACACGGGCGCTTAAAGGGCTTCTATGGGGTCTGTACTGTCCACTGGGCGCTGTCACAGGCCGGCAGGAAGGCCATTTCCAAGCAGATGGAAGGGGATTGCAATGGCGCCCGGACTACTCCAAGGCTCTGTATAGGTAGAGGCAGAATTCTCCAGCTCACTCTAGAGGATGCTCCACTGCAGCGCGAAATGGCGCCCCGAGCCCCCCGCCAGCCCTTTATATATAAGCGGAGAGGAGGAGCTTCCCCTCATGCTACACGGGGCTCGAGATTTCTCTCATCCCCTCTGCGACCGCCGCTCGCTGGTGCGTTAAGAAGCTGAGTCTAAGGGGGAGGAACACCGCCCCACGGGAGCTTCTTCTATTGGCCAGCCACGCGATGACGTCATAAACTTCATTTCCAAGGTGACAGTCCCCTGGCAGAAGAGTGCAACAGAGACCCACAGAGAAGTGCCAGCCCGCCACATCTCCAGGCCAGTTGGCTGAGCTATGGTTCTGGACTCCAGGGAAAGAGGGCGGTTGGAAGGGGTGCAGAAGCCTCCAGCACCCTCTCCCCGCCTCCCCTCCCAACAAAGTCTTCCCAGGCTTCCATGCACAGGGCAACTGGAGACTGCCAAGCTTGGCCAAGTCGTTCCATTCGTAGCTCCTCGTTGGCCAGACCAGTAGGGAAACGGGAGGGGTCAGGTGGGGCCCCTGCCTGGGGCCTGCCAGGGGTGTGGCTGCAAGACGCTGGGCTGGTGGTGGTTCTGGGAGGTAAGGCGGCTGCAGCAAAGAATTCTTAAATCTGGCCGGGCGTGGTCGCTCACGCCTGTAATCCCAGCACTTTGGGAGGCAGAAGCGGGCGGATCACAAGGTCAGGAGATTGAGACCATCCTGGCGAACACGGTGAAACCCCATCTCCACTAAAAATACAAAAAATTAGCCGGGCGTGGTGGCGGCACCTGTAGTCCCAGCTTCTCCGGAGGCTGAGGCAGGAGAACGGTGTGAACCCAGACGGCGGAGCTTGCAGTGAGCCGAGATTGCGCCACTGCACTCCAGGCTGGGTGAAAGTGCAAGACTCCGTCTTAAAAAAAAAAAAAGAATTCCTATAAGTCTTCCTCGTAATTTGGTTATCTAAATAAGGGTGCAGACTCTGGATCCTAAAGCCTTCCAGGGGGCCTCCAAAATTGCCCTCGGTTTGGTACTGGGTGTGTAATCCCGGGTGTCAATCCCCCATCCCAAAGCGAAGCCGTGTTGAGGGAGGGGGCATAGCCCCAGCCCCTCCCTTCCCGACTGGGCTAGGGGAATGGGGAGAGCATCGGGCGTGCGGCCACATCAGCAGCACCCAGACTGGGTGACTGGGGTCACGTCCCTGCTGCTCCTGCCCTTTCCCCCAGCAGGAGAACCAGTTTTCCAAACGTTCCTGAGGGTTGCTAAAGGGGCCAAGGGGGCCGCATGGCCCCAGCCTATGTCCCAAAACCCAGAGCGCTAAAATGCTGCTGCTCCTCCATATCCCCAGCTTCCTATCCCACAGTCGTCACTCTGTCCCGCTACCTCACCTCTCCCTACGGGTTCAGCACGGCTGCTGTGGTGCTCGTTTTTATCTAAAGAGAATAGAAAGTCCAGATGGGAAGAAATATCAGATGAAGAATTTCAGCACATTGTTTGATGATGGTATTTGGATGGTGGAATAGTTTTTCAATTAATGGGGGAAAGGTCTGCAAATCTTTAGAGCCCATGGGAGTAAGAAGAAATTCTATTTTAAAGGAAGGTGTATCAGCAGACAAATTTTGACATCCTGCCACATCAGTGGGCTGTCAAATGTCCTGGTTTGCCATAACTAAAAGGGTTCCTGGAATATGGCTCTTTCCGTTTTAAGTCCAGAAAGTACAAACTTGAAGGAGCTAACTAGCCTATGACTCAAATAAAATGCTAAAGCCATCGGTTACGTGAATTTTAGGAAGGCACCATAAATGAGGATGAGATTCAAATTCACATATAGAAAACACTGAGGAAGAAAATGAAAAATATAGTTTAAAATAAGTAACATCTTCAGAGATACATTAGATATTAAATCCACAAAAGTAAGAAGTGCTGTTGCATATGAAAAGTTTTAGTTAATATAAATGATGCATTCAGAATGTTAAAAAACAAATCTCAAAAAATGACCCAATAAGTATAATTGACCTTAACTAAAAGTCAAAGAAGCAATAGAAAGTATAACCAAAAGTAAAAAACAAAAAAAAAAAAAAAAAAAAAAAAAACAGAGAGACATTAAGAAAGATAGGAAACTGGGAAATTGAGGCAAGAATACCAATGTACGTTTAGGGTAGTTTCTACAAATATATAGTTTCTACAAATATGTAGAAAAGATAGAGAAGATGAAATTGTTCAATTATTTCTCAACGAGGCAGAAAGTTAATAAGGATATCCAGGAATTGAACTCAACTCTGCAAAAAGCAGACCTAACAGACATCTACAGAACTCTCTACCCCAAATCAACAGAATATACATTCTTTTCAGCACCACATCAGACTTATTCCAAAATTGACCACATAGTTGGAAGTAAAGCACTCCTCAGCAAATATAAAAGAACAGAAATTATAACAAACTGTCTCTCAGACCACACAATCAAACGAGAACTCAGGACTAAGAAACTCAATCAAAACCGCTCAACTACGTGGAAACTGACCAACCTGCTCCTGAATGACTACTGGGTACATAACGAAATGAAGGTAGAAATAAAGATGTTCTTTCAAACCAATGAAAACAAAGATACAACATACCAGAATCTCTGAGACACATTTAAAGCAGTGTGTAGAGGGAAATTTATAGCACTAAATGCCCACAAGAGAAAGCAGGAAACATCTAAAATTGAC